TGGCTGGAGATGATATACCAATTAGTATTGATGACATTGAAGGTGACTTCGATCCAAAGGAATATGACAGGCGCATGCAGGTTTCTTTAATTATTCTTTTTATTCATCAGTGGTTATAATGTTATCTATTGTATTGTATTTGTACGTATATTGTTTAATTCTAGCAAATCTTCAACGATCAGTACTATGGGAAGAATGAGGAGCTTGCTGAAGGAGATCAAGAAAAGCCCATATTTAGCGACATGGATGATGTAAAAAAATTCCTACTGTTTAAATATTTTTAGTGTTGGTTATTCATTTTGCAGTCAGATGATGAAACAAACAGTAGTGACTACGACAATTTCCCTATTTCAACTGCCGCTAATAGTGCAAGCAATGTTGAGCAGAGTAAATCAAATTCTAATGAAAACGGAAATGCGCAGAATGGCGGGGGAACCTCCACGCGAGTGAAAGAAGGTGATTTTTGAACACATTCCACAAATTTGTGCTTTTGATAGAAAAGTAACTGCAGTGCGAGTAACTACAACTATAAACGGTACGGCTACTTCGGTCTTTTATGCGCAGCAAACTGTAAGTTTCTTATTTCAGAGTCGCGACGGAAGAGAAAGAGAAACAGTAGATTTCGAGAAGCTGTGCAAAGAAAGAAACCACTGTTTGATCCCAAAGCAAAAACTTTTGAAGAGTATTTTAACGAGTATTATGCTCTGGATTATGAAGATATCATTGGTACGCTGCTCAATTGTTACCTCATAGCTCACTTTTTATCTCCCTTTTTTGTTTATTTTGTATAATCATGTTTTTGTTCAGGTGATAAGTTGACAAGATTCAAATACAGACAAGTAGTTCCAAATGACTTTGGGCTATCTGTCGGTGAAATTTTATCTGCAGATGACAGACAACTGAACGCTTGGGCTTCTCTTAAGAAGGTACGGTCGAGTTTTTCAAACCCATAACCTTGACACGGAATCTTTTCTCAGGCAACCGGTTATCGAAGTGAACACGAAGAGTTGGTGGAGAAGAAACGCTATGAAAGAAAAGCTGCTGATGTGAAGAAGAAGGAAAAGATCTTCAGCACCGATTTCGGCGGGTGAGAATGAACTATCATTGGGAAGCAAACAATCAAGGGATTTGAATTTTCAGAAAGAGGAGTAAAAAGCACAAAGAGGAAGAAGTTGCAGAGGATGGGCTTGATGAGGCACATTCCAGTGGTGGTGTTATGCAAGAAAAGAA